ACATAAGTACCTTTTCAATAATCCGGGGACAGATCTGCGAGCTTGAGGGTCTGTGGAAAGAGAGAGCCGCTGGAATTCTTTATTCTTATATAGGGGACACACAAGGGGAGGTTCCATGGAACATTCTATCCCGAAAATGGCAAAGGAGTAGGACTACAAAGGAACAGGTGAGCGTAACCCAACCCCATGGGGTGACACCTACTCCTGGAGCCAAGCCTCATTATCCCAGGGGAGGTAAAGCCCAAGTGACTATGGAACACAATAATTGTTCAGTACCACCCTCCCCACTCCCCCACCACCCCCTGCACCAGAACTTAAAGGCATGTTCATCCAGGGCAGCTCCTGACGACACAGCTCTGGGGGCTGGGAAATCCTAGGTCAAGGTCAAGGGGGTCAAGGTTCAAGGTGGTCAAGGGGGTCAAGGTGTCCAATGAGGGCCCATTCTTTGGTTTAGAGATGCCCATCTTCTCACTGTGCCCTCTTATGCTGGAAAGAGCAAGAAAGCTCTCTGGGTTCCTCTTAGAAGTGCACTAATTCCATTCATGAGGGCTCCACCTCAGGAACTCATTCTTTCCCGAGGCCCATCCCTAATGCCATCCCACTGGTGGTCAGGATTTCAGGGTATTCTGTGGGGACACAAGCAATTACTCGGTGGCAGTCATGTTTCCTGGGGTACTGCAGACAGATCTTCATGCCGGAAGGCACACTGGTACTGAGGAAAACCTAGAGCTCTGTTGACCTCTCCCCACTCACACCAATGGCAGTGAATTCAAGGCCCTGCACCTTTTGAGCAAATAACTCACTTGTTTGCAGTGTGAGTTATACAAGTTTTTTTTTTATTATTGTTGTTGTTTTTGATGCCTCAGCTTGAATTTTGGTGGACACAGGAAACATCTTCCTAGAGGACGAACCTGTCCTCCACTGGACCAGGTCATCCTGGATAAATGACCTGTCCCTCCCTCAAGGAGCCTGCCTAGGGTCTACTTGCCAGCCTCCCCACCCCCTCCTTAACCAAGATGATCATTCCAGTAGCAGGGTGACAGTGCACAGTCAGAACATTCTTTATTTCTCTATGAATTAATTCAGTGTGGCCCTTAGAGCCATGTCTTCATGTCCTTGGCACAGATTACAATTCTAACTCAGAATTTCCTCCTTCCCTCAGAGAACATTACACTAGATCACTGCTGTGACTTCAGAGTGTGCAATCTTATGCTTATGCCCTACTCAGTCACCCCCATACCCCTGAAGAAGGACTGTCCCACCTGCTCTGTTTCCATCGAACATCCTGACTTCTGGTGCAGATGTTCCCAGCCAAGGCAACCTGTGGTCTGCTGTCAATGAAGTGTTCACACAGGGAATCTCACATCCCCATCATAGACAGAGAGAGGATTGGATCCACAGATTGGATCCTGGGATCTCCCCCACCTTGGATGTGGCCCTCTGGAGATGCTGGTCTCCTGAGATCCAGCCAAGTCCAGCATGAGGTCTGCAGCTCAGGGTGACCACCCAGACCCCAGGACATTAAAGCATCAATGCTGATCACCTTGCCCTCAAACCTCAGTAACTTCCAAGCCTGCCTTCCAGGGTCCTGGGAACCTTATTAGATATTCCCTAGAGCCTTGAGAGGATAGAGCGTTCATGGGCTTCTCTCTCAGGTGTTAAAAGCTTATTGTAAGGATGGCCTTAACCTAAGCAGGGCCTTTTGAAACAAACCTGCAGCCCCCACCTAGCATGCCTACAGAGCCCTCCACTATGATCACCAGGCATGGCCTGATAAAACAAGTCACTTTCCACAACCCTGTTGAAACTCAGAGTGAAGTCTCTGTCATTTGCCTTCACCCTGATAAAGGCAAAAGATGAGAGATCAGGGCAAAACCACCAGACCAGATTGCTTGACCTCAGAACAAAAGACGTCGCTGAGAAACCTGGGAACAGCTGATTGGGATTGAAATGGTAGTCAGAAACCCCCAAATTTAGCATAAACAATGGAGCAAATGAACAGACCTTCAGCCAGCCAACACTGATGCCCTCATGCTGGAGAGCCTGATGAGGACCTGGACTGACATCCCAACTCCTCTCATCATTTTCCTGATCCTCTGCATCGTCCTCACCACTTTTAAACTCTACAACCACATCTTGACCCTGGTGAGAACGGCGACTTCCCCGTACGACCCTCTCCTTAGCTGGCCATCAGCTCCACAGCAGGAGAAGTCTCCATTGGTGCCTGACCTGATGGCCACAGTCTGAGTGAGTGGGCATCTGCTGGACTTAAGGCCTGAGGTTCGAGACTTTAGATCTGGCACTTGGGCTTAGCACACAGAGGGAATGTCTATCATGAGCCTTCATGATTAGGTGTGTTTGCAGTGCTTAGAATTAAGCTAGAATTGTTTGCTGTGAATTCATTATGTCTATTGCAGTGCCCAACATTAAGGATTGTCGTTTTCTTGACTAAGATCCTATAGAGTGGAGTTGTATTGAGTGATTGAGTGAATAAAGCATGGGAAAGGCCAGAAACGTGAGAACATTCTTTATTTCTCCCTCTCCACTGCCTAAGTCACACCTTTGCCCATCGATACACTTACAGACAATATAAATTTAACAATGTTATTTAATAATTAAAATATTCATGAATTTGGTGGCATTCAAAACTTGGAAAGGCTCAGAGGGTCAGTTTCAGTGGCATGAGCAGTGGGCCTGGCGGCTGTTAATTGGAGAGGACACCTTGAGGTGTTGGCCTTGCTTGGTGTTGATGTCGAATGGCCTTTGGTTTGCTCACGTGGGAACATGGGCTCCAGCACCATCTCTGCCCGTGGCCCCTTAATCACTTCAACACAGGCTGTGTAGCCCCCTCTAAGAATTAAGTCTCCAAACTCCATTTCGGGCAGCGCTTTTCATCTCGGGCAGCTGGAGCTTTCTGTAGGTGGACTCTAGTTGCAGGAGCGGGCTATGCCTCCTTCTTTCTTCCCTCATGCCATTGCATCCAATGGCCTGCTTCTCACTTGGTGGGAGGGGAGCAGGAAGCTGTTGCTCGGCTGGCTTCTGCATGGCGTACCTTCATTCTGCTAGTACAGATGACGAGAGCCAACATGTTTTGGAGGAGAAGGGAGTGACCCTCACTCCCATAGTCCATTTCCCTGTGTCATCTGTGAGGGTCCCATCCCAGGACTGTAGCTGCCCTGGCAATACCCCTGTAGGCCCTTGCAGCCAAGAGCTCCTCACAAATGCCTAGGGCTTCCTGCAAAGTATGGTGGGTTGGATTGGTCTCTCCACAGAAGATATGCTCAAGTCCTGCCCTTGGGTGCCTCAGAACCGAACTTTATTTTTAAATAAGGTCTTTGCAGAGATAACAAGTTAATATGGAGTCATCCTGGATTAGGGTGGGCACAGTGAAGAAGGCTGTGTGACACAGGCTGAATGCCAAGGACTGCTGCTCACCACCAGGAGCCAGGAGGACAGACCCATCCTCTGAGCCCCACAAAAGAGCCAGCCCACCAGCACCATGGCTTAGGACTTCCAGCCTCCAGGGGTGTGAGAGCAAATTCCTCTTGCGATGGGTCCAGTTTGCAGTGCTTGTTACAGCAGCCTGGGAAACTGCACCAGCTCCTTAGACTGAGCACCTCAAGTGCAGATCCTACAGCCTCTCCTTGCATCACCCTGCCCGGCGTGGCCCTGCCATACAAGTCACTTCACTACATAGAGAGTGACGGAGTGAGTGATGACCAGCCGGCTGGACAGTTTGCTTTTTGCTTTACAACATCATCTTGTACAAAAGAGCTCTTCAGTGATAAAACTTTTTTTTTTTTTTTTTTTTAAGTTCGGAGAAAGAAAGTAGTCGTGGTATTGGCAGCCACTCAGAGGCTGAGGCAGGAGGGTAGAGGCCAAGTCCAGGTAACATAGGAAAACCTTGTCTCAAAACAAAACTTAAATAATGGCTGAGGGTACAGCTCAGCAATGGGGCACTTGCCCAGTGTGTGTGAGGCTCTGGGTTCCATCCCCAGCACTGCACATACACAAACAGGTGTATTATTATCTGTAATTAAAATAAATCCTTGTTGACTACCTACTAGTTAAATAATGCAATGATTCAAACACATCTCAGTTCTTACACACTGCCCCTATGTAAAGAAACCTTCCTTTAAAAACAGGAATACATAAAATTAGAGTCTGTTGGAATCTGAGTGCCTTATTTTTTAAAAAGAAAACATCTTGGAATAATGTTAGTAGCTGGTAAGTAGTGTTAATCCACAGGAGAGCAGCATCCTTACTTGCCTTCCTACTCTCTTTCTCTTTGTCTCTAAATTGTTTTCAAGTGAAAGCATCCTTGTCTGGAAGGTCTGCCCTGACCAAATCCTCCAGAAAATCCACACTTTCATGCAAAATGGTCACTGCGGCTCCTCAGGCAGGCAGCTTCCTCCTCTCTGTGCCATTGACCTCCTGTCTTGCTCCTGTCTGTGGTGAACATGCCAGTCTGATCAGACTCCTGAACATTGACCTCATATGAGCCATGTGTCCCCACACAGGAGGGGACTGAGGTCGGTCTGTGCTACAGAACATCAGTGTCCACTCAGCCTGGTGGGCTGAAAGGAGCAGGACAGACAGACCACGAACACAGACCTTCAGCCCTTTCTTCTCCCCAGGCTTCAGAAAATGCGATTACAAATTAACAGCCCCAAAGGCAGGAGCGTCACCTGCCCAGAGATGCTTAAGCCCTTGGGCAGTCTGTTCTTGAACCAGCCCACAGGTACTGAGGGGGAATCGTGCTCATGATCCCTGGAGCTTGTGGGATAGAAGATGCAGCCTGAGAGGGTGATCTAATTGGTAGGGGAGAAGTAGGCTTGGTGGATTTGTGTATCCACCAGGAAGCTGGGTCATCGATGTACATACTTTTAATTAAGGAAGTTTGAGAGGGTTCTCTATCACATGGGTAAACAATTTCTTAGAGTAATAGAGAGGTTGTCAATGATTCTTTTATGTTCAAAAAACTCTGTATTGTGCTGTAGGTCAATGAGAAGCTGTGGAAGGTGAGATCTGTTCAATACTCGTGGCCCGAGGTCTGCAGAAATTTCCATAATATAAGGAAGAATTCTGCAGGGACAAGAATGCTAAACTGCAGACTACTTTTTCTCCTGGCTATCTCTTCTCCTCGGCCTCATCTTCCACAAACATCCCCAACAACGTGGATTGTTAAACTTCCTTCTTCTAAATAAACCCAGGGATTAAAATTAAAACTTTGGCCAATCAATCTTAATAATAATAAAAAAAATCGATTTGAGTTCCCATCAGTAGGGGGGAAAACTGTGTGGATAAAATGTGATTTTTCAATGCAACATGGAAGAAGCAGCTGTGTTTGAGCATCTCCTGCCCTGGGATCTTGAACTGGAGCTCTGTAAATGCCTAGTGAGCTGCCTGGCCTTTTGCCCACTGCCTGGGCCATTCCTTGCCTAGCATTTATTTTTTCAGTCCACTGTTGTTCATAACCAATTGCTGTTGGTACTCTAGTGGTCAAATAAATCATACAAAAAGAATCACATTTTCCAAACTGTGGTTGCAAATCCAAGTCTTCAGTCGACTTGGCCCATTAAAAAAAAAAAAAAAAAAAAAAGCTGTTCTTAATAAACAAAGGCATAACATAGAAGATTTCTCCCAATTTACAATCTGATGAAAATCAGCTTAAAATCAAGACTCCTAACACCAGAGCAACGGATTCCATTCAGCTACGTTTGATAAAGTATGGGATTAGGGGAATAAGATCTCCTCTGTCTCCACCTTGCTGATACTTCTGTAATAGGTAACTGAGGGGCTGAGGCAGGGGGGTCCTGTTCTGGCTGTGCTGACTTGGAGACACCCTCCCTTTTTTTTTTCTTTCTGTGTCATGCATCGTACACCTGGGGACCTCCCTGCCTTTTGGGTTTCAGAGACAAGTAAATCTCAACCCAAGGATAAAAGCATAAACCAGCAGGTCTTTGCTTTCCCAGCTTCTTTGTGGAGTGTGAGCTCATAACACAGCCAAGAATCAGACTCCACCATACAACAGCATCAGGAGCCAAGCTGCAGAGAAGGACATGGCGTGGACCACTTCCTGGTGAGATGATGACTGGTGGCTGCAGGTTCAGAGTGCTCCAGGGGCCATTTGCATAGGCTAAAATGGATCCTCTCATGCAGGGTGGGTGTGACCAGGGTTTTCTCATAGGGCCTTCTCTGAGACACAGCTGGGGCTGCTGCTTGGCCCTCATGGAGTCCTTACAGCACCCAGTATCCTCTCAATATCCGTTTCTCCGCTGAAATCAGCCAGAGCTCTGTTGCTTGCAACTAGGAGCGCGGATGTTCATAAATAAATATCAGCACCTCCTCTGCTCTAACTGCTGCGAAGGGTATGGAAAATTTTCATTTATATCCCCTAAGGGAATGTTGTTACTGAATGCTGATTGCTTTCCTTTAGTCTAAATTAATTAAATGACACAGTATCTATTGTAGAAAACAAACGAAGATCATTTTACACAGTAAATTGTAAATAGTGATTATAATGTGTGATCTTTCCAGAGAAATAATAGGAAACAATGTGTTCATTCAGACAGCTGCGGCTGGAAATTGCAAGGCTGTCCTGTACATGGTAATCCATTTCCTCCTCCCTCCAATGCCTCGAACTCCTGGATGATTTAATAACCAAGTGTCAGTAGTGAAACCCAGGTAGGGATAAGGCTAGGAAACAAGAAGTGTGCATCCTGCATGAATGTTCTCCATAAAACAGGGAAACAAGAAACCTAGCTGTTGTTTCTGTTTTGTTGAATAAAATAAAAGGCCGTTCTTCATGCTCAGCTCCATCTTCTTGTGTCCATGCAAAAGCTGGAGAGTTAGGATGCAAGGGTGCAACTTCTCTTGAAGCAACTCCATGCCTTGAGATCTTGATTTTCTTTAGAGCAGGCTGTGGAGAGAGGCTGTTCATAAGGGGGGTCAGTGGAAGCCCTTGTCTTTCACCTGGAGACCATGTCCTCCCACCTGTGCATCATCTGGACCATTCTCATTTTGGACATTTGTTCAAATGGTCTTCAGCATCTGTAGGCTTCCCGACCAGGCCTTCTCTGTTGCCTTGGTACTAGGAGGCAAACTTGGCCCTCAGAACACATTTATTTATTGAGTGATAAGTCCAAAGAACTCACGGACATATACTCAGACTATAACTGAACTTTGGGGAAAATGACATAATGATATAAGTATCTGCCCTCCTGAAGATGGTTTGGATGTGGGGCCGACTGAAGGATAAGCCTGTGATGAGGGTGTTGGATGTGAAGACATGAGGACGGGCTCAGGGAGAAGGGAAAGAGCAGAGATTTCCTCCTCCTCCCAAGGAAAGCAAAATCCAGGTTTTAGGCAGATAGCAAGTCAGCTGGTTGGTTAGTCTGTCCATCCTTCTGCTCGGTTTGCCCCTTGCACAAAAAGCACCAAAACAGACAAGGGCAGTTCAAGTCCGAAATGTCTGCTGTGCTCAGCACCTTTTGCCAATGAGCGGTGCGTGAGAACTGGTTTATCAATGCTCTTCAACATTCACCGAGAGCCTGCTAAGCTCAGCGCCCAGTGCCCTCCAGAATATGTTAACTCATGCCATTCTCACTATCTAATGTGGCTGGCAGGTAGCCGTGAGGGACATAAATCCTAGGCCTCCTTAAACCATCCCCAGTGCTGCTGAATATCGCATCAGATTCCTTTTTGGATACAAAAGTGAGTGATGGCACTGCTACTCACTTAGGTATTTGCAGTGCATTTCCCCACCAGTGAGGGGTAGGCAGGGTGCCCAGACTGGACGAGGTGGAGGGAAGCTGCTGAGGTGTGGTTGCACCAGGTTGGCTTTAGGCCTCTGCTGTCCTCCCAGAACCCGTCCAGGCTCTGGGAAGGCAGCGCCCTCTCACAGCCCCATGCTAACCCTGAGAGGCCAGATCCAGGCCTTTCTGCCTCTTTCCTGTATGTCCCACCCCTCTCCCTGCTCCTCCTGTTCCTCCAGCTGCACCTTGGCAGGGTTTTGAGGGAAGGAGGCTTTGGATAGCCTCGCCTGGAGCTGGAATCTGTACTGGACAACCCCACCTCCACCCAGATGCTTTGGGGGGGGGCTCATTCATTGGTTTTACCTGTGCCTGAAAGACAAATCACTTTCTTGGTACCCAGCTTGCCCATGAAAAGCAGAAGGCAGTAAAGTAGGTTCCAAGTGGACACAGAGAGAAAATATTCAATCATTATCCAGGTGGTTGTTAGGAAATGGGTACAATCTGAATCTGGAATGTTCCCCAAAGGCTTGTGTGTTACAGCTTGGTCAACAGCCTGTGGCAGCTTTTGGGAGGTGGTGGAGGCCTTAGGATGTGGGGCCCAGTGGAAGGTCCTTGGTAGCATGCCCTTGAAGGGATTGGCTTCCTAGGCACCTTGAGGTGAGCACTCTCCTCTGCCACACACGCTCCCCACCATGATGCTCTGCCTTGCCACAGTCCCAAAGTGATGGGGCCAAGTTGTCATGGACGAAGCCTCTAAAATTGTGAGCCAAAATAAATCTTTCCTCCTTTTAAGTTGTTTTATCTCAAGTATTTTGTCATAGCAATGGAAAGTTGACAAACACAGAAGCCCAGTTGGAAAACTCTTTGGGCTAACTTTCTGTGTGTGGAATAAATTAATCCTGAGACCGCAAAGAACAGAAACTGTTTATTTAAGGTGGCTATGGGCATCTGTATGTACTTGGCTATCTTATTTAAACTTCATAACAGCCCTGGGAATGTTTCCTATTCCAGCATTTAAAGGTAAGTAAATCAGGCTCAGAGAGATTTTGTGTTTAAGAGTCTCCAGCTAGTAAGCATAAGGTCAGTAGCAGACCCAGGTAAGGCCATCGAAAGCCACATGCTTTCCTCCCCCATTACCACCACTGCATGGTCCACTTCCTCTGTTCAACAAGAGATGAACATTTACATGTGTATCTCAAATGTCAATATCTGCCAAGGATTTATCACCTGAAAATTAATTATTATACACATTCATTTCCGTCTACTTGACCTCAAGTAAGCATGAGTTACTTAACTGTATTACAAGCAAATCTCTTCTTACCACACTTGACCGACCATCCAGAGGCTGGAGTCCCAGGAGCTCTATGAGGGTGGCATGGGTTGAAGGACTGACACAAGACAGGTCAGAGGTCCTCAGTAAAGGGTCCCACTGAATCACTGGCTTTAACTGGAATTTGAACATTTGCATTGCAAATCGGGAGCCCAGTTGCTGGATTCTGATAACTGTGGGGAAAGGCACTATTTCAATTAGGCCAACAGATCAAGTCTTTGAGTTGGGAGTCCAGGCAGCATGTGATTTTAAAGAAACAGCAGCGTTCTTCAAAAAACAGCAACATCTGTTTATAAAAGGAAAACAAATGAGTTAAACCTTCTGAACACTCCCCTAACCCATCGACCACTTGAGAAGTGAGAAAACAAAAAAACCAACACCGGTGTCTCTGGGTTATATGTAGGAGGGATTGCTAGAACAACCCTAAGCAATCATCTAGTACAATGCAGAACCTCCCGGGACCAGTGATAAAATCGCAACATGGATCTCTTGCCTCCTCTCTGAGCAAGTGCTGTGGTCACATTTAAGGAATCAAGAAGTATCTTTTAACTTTTAAATCCATTTCCTTCCTTCGTGTTGGGTTCTCTACCTCTAATTTTCTAAAATTCTAGACTTCCAGGCATACAGCTGTAGTAGTTATTCTAGAAAAAAGATGAACCCAATGTCGATGAAATCAACATGTAATAATAATGAAAACATACTAGCTCATAAATCTATTGAATTTATTGAGTTTCCGGGAACTGTGCTTACATAATGAATCCTGTGCCTAATTAACTAATCAATCTCCATTCCAATTCTTGCATTTATTCTGTCTCCCAAATCATCCTCCCCATGATCTGTTCTCAGTGTAGGAACCCTTCCAAAGACCTCAAGCATCTTTTCTCTTCCATTGTTTCCTAAGGTTTGTATGGAAAAATTAAACAAACAAACAAACATACAAAAAACACTAAGAGCAAATAAATACAGCATTTCTTCAGTCCAGATCAATGAGAATAAGGGATATGACTGTATTTGAGCAAAGTACAAACCTTATACATGCATGCAGTAGACACACCTGTGCTCATGTCTCTGTGGCTCATTTCTGTGTTTCATCTTTTATAGTATTTATAAAATATCTCTGTAAAACAACGTATCTTCACTTTGTGGTTTTATAATTGTAAATATTACATAAGATGATATCTAGAACAATAGCAGACATTTTCAAATGAAAAAAGAAGACCTACTCATAATTCTGTGAGGCAGGAGTTTAAGTACACCAAGATGGCAAAGATGGTATTAGAAGCCGCTGGAGGACAAGACAAGAAGACGTCCCTATTTACAATAAATCCCATCACCATGACAACTCTGCTGCTGAGGACTTATCACCATGACAACTCAAATTTTAAAATGACCAATGGGGGTAACATGGGCAGTATTCTAATTAGGTTTTCTAAAGTAACCAATGGCGGGGGATGAATTGGAAAATTTTTGAATCAGGTATCATAAGATTGGTTAATGACAGAAAATGGATCAGGCCTGCATAGGGAAGAGAATG